TGTTGCTAGCATCATTAGCAAGTGACTAGCATGTCGCAAGCATGATTAGCAAAAGTTACTAGCATGTTGCTAGCATGATTACCAAGTTACTAGCATGTCGCTAGCATGTTTCTAGCATGATTAGCAAGTTACTAGAATGTTGCTAGCATGTTTCTAGCATGATTAGCATGTTAATAGCATGTTGCTAGCATGATTAACATTAGACTAGCATGTTGTTAGCATTATTAGCAAGTGACTAGCATTTCGCTAGCATGATTAACATGTGACTAGCATGTCGCTAGCATGTTTCTAGCATGATTAGCAAGTGACTAGCATGTTGCTAGCATCATTAGCAAGTGACTAGCATGTTGCTAGCATCATTAGCAAGTGACTAGCATGTTGCTAGCATCATTAGCAAGTGACTAGCATGTTGCTAGCATCATTAGCAAGTGACTAGCATGTTGCTAGCATCATTAGCAAGTGACTAGCATGTTGCTAGCATCATTAGCAAGTGACTAGCATGTTGCTAGCATCATTAGCAAGTGACTAGCATGTTGCTAGCATGATTAACAAGTTACTAGCATGTCGCTAGCATGTTTCTAGCATGATTAGCAAGTCGCTAGCATGATTAGCAAGTTACTAGCATGTTGTTCTCACGTTTCTAGCATGATTAGCATGTCGCTAGGATAGATAGATAGAAATAGTCAGATGATAGATAGATAGATAGAAATAGTCAGATGATAGATAGAAAAGATATAGCACACCCGGTCAGATCAGTCTGAAGAGCTGGGCTGAGTTTGGAGTCTGTAGAGTTAAAGCTCTAGGAGGAGTTAGAGTTGATAATTTAGGATCAGAAGAATAATAATAATAATAATAATAATAAGTTTAAATAGCATTTCAGTAAGTTGGCTTTCTCAAGCCAACTTAATAAGAAGTTTATATAGCATTTCAGTAAGTTGGCTTTCACAAGCCAACTTAATTAGGTTGACGAAACTAGGGTGCCAGAGCAGATGTTAAGGGTCACTGAATCTGATTGCTTTAGAGATCGTAGTAGTTGTTCCTCATTTGTCTCACTCAGCTTTGTAATTGGCTTAGATCTCTATCCCCTCATTCTTGGCCTAAACCAGTTAAAACCAGTGTTTTAACCAGTGTTTTGAATGCACAAAGGGATATCTTTGTTTCCACAAAATGATTTTTTAAGCTGCACAACTGGATTAATGGCTGCTAAAATTCAGCTTTGCCATCATAGGAATAAATTACTATATAATTATTATACAGCAATAAATTAAACATTTTAAATTAAATTAAAATAGGAAAAAAGTACATTTAAATTCTATTATACTACGGGGCCTTGAATGCTTGAATCTGATTGGCTGACGAACGTTCTGAGGTGTGCAATTATTTTCAGGGAAACGCACGGCGAACGTAGTTCCAGGCAGCTCTCTTGACCGCATTACAGTTCCATATCACTTCGCATAGTTAACCGTAATAACGGAAATTAGCATACAGTACGTACAGCACACAGGAATTACTGCAATCACACGTGCTCGCACAAGCACACTACGGTCATTTCTAATAATTCAACGGCCCGTCGTCAATTATTCCTTACATAATATTTCACAATATTACTCTTTTTGATCAAATAAACACAGCCTTGTTGGGCATAAGAGGCTTAAAAAAACATTTTTAAAAACCCTCCAAACTTTTGAATGGCAGTGTTTATGTACACTAAAATTAAACTGGTTAAAAACTGGAAACAGTTAAATACTGGTAAATTTTCTACTTTTTGTTTGTATGCCACAGGACGCGCTACATCCACACAGAGCTGGGCATCCGAGAACGCCTTCTGGTGGGTATCCTGAGCTCACGCGCCACTCTCAACACACTAGGGGTGGCTGTCAATAAAACGGTAGCTCACCGTTTCCACCGTACCTTCTTTTTCACTGGCCTTCGAAGCACAAAGGCACCGCATGGCATGGCTGTTGTTGCTCATGGTGATGACCGACCCGTCTGGCTGATGTATGAAACTATACGCCACCTCCACGTACAGCACACAGGAATTACTGCAATCACACGTCCTCGCACACGCACACTACGGTCACGCAGTTTGCACAAAAAGGTGTTGTCAGCGCTGCCCTGACGATTTTATCAGTTAGCCTGTATAGTGTAGCATACACATGACATTTCTCACTAGCGAGGTAATAACAGCGCTGTTTAGAGACGCTGCTGCAGAACACTGTTGAGGGACGCACAGAGGTAGCATAATTCACACAGGCTCTCTCTCTCTCTCTCTTTCTCTCTTTCTTTATCTGTGTGTCTCTGTCTCTCTCGCTCTCTATCTTGCTCATGGTGATGACCGACCCGTCTGGCTGATGTATGAAACTATACGCCACCTCCACCAACACCACGGCAATGAGTATGACTGGTTTTACCTAGCACAAGATGATACATACACACAAGCTGAAAGGGTCATGGAGCTGGTTAATCATCTTAGTGCGGGACAGGATATGTACATGGGACGGGCAGAGGAGTTTATCGGGGGTGAAGAACGTGCCCGGTATTGCCATGGTGGATATGGGTATCTGCTGTCACGTAGCCTGCTAGCTCGACTGCAGCCCCACCTGGACTCTTGTCGAAATGATATCCTCAGTGTCAGGCCAGACGAGTGGCTTGGTCGCTGCATCATCGATTACCTGGGTCTCAGCTGTGTGGAGAAGCATCAGGTGGGGAAATGTTTTTTTTTTAAAGGATGTAAATGAAAAGCTAAAACCTATTTACTAGAACTGTGGTGGTTTGAGCCTTCTGTCAAAGTACCATTTGCTCATAATCGTAATCTCATAGTGAAAATGGAAAGTGATTATTGTATTGTGCTTGGTCATTTTGTTTACATCCATTAATCCATAGCAGAAGCACAGAGAGAGAGAGAATCCATTTAAACCTGGGTTATGATCAGTATTGTTGTGATCTTTTAAAATGATGTAGGAGATGACATACCGTTACTTTGAGCTGCAGAAGAACGTGGACCCTGAGCGCGAGGACAGTGCACAGTTTAAGAATGCCTTCACTGTCCATCCCGTCTCTGAACCTGCCCTGATGTATCGCCTACACAAACGCTATAACCAGATTGAACTGGACTGGACCTATGCACAAATACAGCAGTTACAGGTATGTTACTGCACTTCTTATTAGAAGAAAACATTCTCTCACTTGCATAAAGCTGCTAACTTCTAGACAAGACACTGCAGAAGGGTTTGTTCCTATAATATTTGCCTGGTAACATGTAACATTTATTCCTAAAAGTATGGTAGAAATGTATTTGTTTTCTGGCTGTTTACAGTATTTTCTGAATTATAGAGTGATAAAAACGCTTCCGTTATAACTTTTAACTTCTTTATTTAATATACCAACAAAAAGAAATAAGAATTTTGAAACTAGCTTTTATCCAATGTTCAGATTTCAGAGTTTCCAAAGACTTGTAGTAGAAATCAAATGTGTCTTGATGTTCTGTGATTAATCGACAGGGGAAAGTATGCTGTATCTATAATAAGATACAGTGTTTAGCCTGTTCACCTGTTGTGTCTTGCCTTAAGTTCACTCTGACTTAAGGCATGTCTGCACAATCATATGCAGAACCAGCACCTTTAGATTGAGAATATTAATTAAGACCTCGGTGCATTTTGACTTGGCTGAGACCTACACAAATATGCATTCTGAACGTGGATCTGATGTTACGTCTCAGTGAGCTACAACTCAGTCAAGCTTCAGTCTTAATCTGTTTGTCTCCAAGTAAATGTAACACAATGTCTAATCAGATATTTGTAGGATTAAGTGCTCGTCTTTTGGAGCAAAGAAACAAAAACATGTGGACAAAGACATGTTACAATCACATTATCACATTATGCATGTTCGTCCGATTAGCAAACACTTTAGATTTCAATCAGACTAAAGCATTTACATTGCATTTGAAAAAGATGAATCATTGTTTAGTCCAAATGAAATTTCACTTGATATAATGCCTAGCTTTGACGCATAGTGTTTCATGTCTGGGCAAAGATGCTGCATAGGTAATGGGGCAAGGTGTTTGCACCTGTCAGCCAGCCATCACGCATTACATAACATCAGGAAATTAACTTGAAATTAGCTACCTCTGCTTTTCAACTGCCTTTAGATCGGATAGGATGACTTTGACTCAAGGAGAAAGCTTGCCTTTCTGCATAATAAAAGAAAGTGGGAAGACAATTGACAGACATACTGAGACTTTATATTAGGTGGCCTTAACTGCTATGTACTTGCATCAAAAATAAGTACAGTGTACTTATTGTGTTCATATTATATTGCAGAACACTTTTGCTGCTATTGAGGTGGGATACGGGTAAGGTTAGGGACAGGTTTGGTGGTATGGGTAGGTTTAAGGGTGGGCTAAGGTGTAAGGGATAGGTCAACAGTGTAATTATACATGTAAATACAGAAATTAATTTCAGATATAATTACATGTATATAAGTACAATGTAAAAACATGTATGTACACAGTAAGTGCATTGTATCAAATGATTAATTTAAATTTAACTATATGGCCACCTAATATAAAGTTGGACCAATGACAGAAAAGAGAACTTGTTCCCTTTACCAGGTTAACAGTTAATTCAGGTCCTTACAATGACGTGTTCTGTTGTTTTGGCCACAGAACCAGATCAACAACATAAGTGAGCTCACTCCAGAGGGCAAAGCCGGAGCCACCTGGCCCATCGGAATCAACCCACCTTTCCGACCCAAAACCCGCTTTGAGGTGATCAACTGGGAATACTTCACCGAAGAGCACATTTATTCATGTGCCGACAGCTCTCCAAAGTGTGAGCTTCGAGGTGCAGACAGGGCAGACGTCAATTCAGTCCTGGAGACAGCAGTGGGTCGTTTAAACGAGCGCTATCAGCCTCAGTTACGCTTCCGTAAGCGGCGTCTGCTAAATGGGTACCGGCGCTTCGATCCCACACGGGGCATGGAGTACGTGCTGGATTTGGCCCTGGAAGCATTTACGCAGAAAGGTCACAGTCAAGTCATCGCCAAACGGGTGAGTCTGCTGAAACCGCTCAGTGCTGTCGAGATCATCCCAATGCCATATGTAACAGAAGCGACACGGGTACAGGTGATCCTCCCTGTGACGGCACACGATCAAGACTTTGTGGGTAACTTCCTTGACATGTATGTCATGAATGCTCTGGATACCCATGACAATGCTCTTCTCACCTTCTTGTTTGTGTATGACCCCTTCGATGCCCAAAGAGTCAGCCAGACGGACGTCTTTGCAGGTGTCAAAGCTATGATTGGTGAGGTAGAGAAACGTTACGGTGATGTAAAGATTCCTTGGATTAGTGTAAAGACTGAAGTTCCCTCACAGGTCAAGCTGATGGACATCATCTCCAAGAAGCACCCAGTAGACACCCTGTTCTTTCTGGCCAGCGTTTGGACCGAGGTCAACGCTGACTTCCTTAATCGCTGCCGTATGAATGCTATCAGCAATTGGCAGGTCTTCTTCCCGATCCACTTTCAAGAGTACAGTCCCGCTCTGGTCTACCGCGACCAACAGACTTCCGCCGCTTCATCGTTTGCGTCTGAGTCATTGCGCGATGGCCACTTTGACCGCCACGTCTTTGAAGAAGCCTGCTTCTACAATGCAGATTATATGGCTGCCCGCACAAAAATGGCGGCTGACATCTTGGACAATGATGAGTTGCTTGAGAGCATGGACGTCTACGAGATCTTTGTGCGTTATTCGGGGCTGCACGTGTTTCGGGCTGTCGAGCCAGCGCTAGTTCAGAAGTATGTGCACAGAGAATGTAACCCGCGGTTCAGTGAGGACATCTATCACCGCTGTGTGCTCAGTAACCTCGAGGGGCTGGCCTCTCGATCACACCTAGCGATGGCTCTGTTTGAACAGGAGCAGGCTAACAGCACCTGAACTGACTACTACTGCAACCCTAAGATGGCTTAAACGTCTTGATTCTCATTTAGGTGGCCTTAAATGACCTACTGATATTGACCGAGTGAATTTCACCCTGATGCTGTGAACTTCTCTGCACAGATCATCCAGTCATCTCAGTTCAGCCAAACACGGTGAAGTCGCCTTGTGAAAAGTTGTTCAAAATCTGTATATCTTACTTTCTTTTGCGGAACATAGAAGACATTTTGAAGAATGTGTTTTTTGGTCTATACAATGAATGTCAAAGGTGACCAGTTCTCTTTGTTGTGTTCTGCAGAAGAAAGAAATTCAGGTTTGAATTGACTAGAAGATCAGTACATAATGACAGATTTTCCATTTTTGGGTCCCTTTAAGGATCTACATAAAATGGAGTTAACCCATGAATGTGTAACTAATTTAACCAGAGAACAACAATCACAATATCTTCATAACTCATTTTTGAGGAATGCATTTCACCTCGTTTACATTAAAGGCAGAGTAAGTGATTTCTGGTAGCCAGTGTTGATATTATGATTGAATGCAGGAACCTGAAGTTAGCACTGGAAACGCATAAGGACCGCATTCATCTTTTACTATATGAACATATCAGACTTTAGGTGGTTAGTAGAGGTTCTAGACTCAGCTACACAAGTAACTTGAGCCATCTTTTTTCCTCCAGATATATGATTGTATGACCTTTGAACAGAATGTGCTGAATATTTCAGGACTGAATAAAAAAAAATTGTGAAACCTGATTATGAATCATTACTATGATGCACCCACTTTTATATTTATATATATTATCAAGTATCTTGAAGTGCATAGAACTAAGCAACACTGGTTAAAGGGTTAATTCCTGGTTATAAAATCCATGTTTTTGCTTACTCATGTGGTCTCTGGTTTGACATCAGTGACACTGAACACCATTGGTTCACATATAACTAAAAGTGACATTCCATATTTAAATATAGGCGCCTGCGAACCAGACTTGAGAAGAGACCTTTAGAGATTGTTGTACAAAGAGTGCCTATACTCTTGAAAAACAGACTGGAGGAAATAAACACGTTTTACTTAACTAGCTGGGTCTGGTTCACCACAGTCTGCACATTTTCAGTCTCCTCCACTTTTTCAGCTGATTTTTAGCTGATGACAGATGAAATTCAATACACACCGTGATGTTTAGAGGGGCCTGAGACATTGACGTGAAATGGTGCCTTTCGTCTTCTTCCACAGGGAGCATAGGTTAATACAGTACATTCTCAATCCCACTGTATGTATGGAAGTCTTTCTCCGCTCTGTTATTTTCATGCATTTCAGTTAACAGAGGGACGCCCTGTGGATTTTGCCAGGTCAAGAGCAGAGAGGTGGTGAATGGTTCTTTTAAAGGGGTCATATGATGTTGCTAAAAAGAACATTATTTTGTGTATTTGGTGTAATGAAATATGCGGGTTAAGGTTCAAAAAACACATTATTTTTCACATACTGTACATTATTGTTTCTCCTCTATGCCCCGCCTTTCTGAAACGTGTCGATTTTTACAAAGCTCATCGGTCTGAAAAGCAAGGTGTGCTCTGATTGGCCAGCTATGCAACTGTGATGATGCCCTGCCTGGCCGGAGCGATGACTCAAAAACATGAAAACCCATTATAAACGAGGCATTCGTTGCATCCAGTGGGGACATAATTATGGATTATAATGACTTATACT